AAAAAAAAAAAAAAAGGTGTTCTTCTTTTGTTTACATTGCGGTCCCGTTAACAAATGCTAATCCCATAAGGGCTGAAAAGGTTTGACAAAAATGTTTCAGGTCCAGACATAAGTGTCGTAAACCAGGAAGATTCAAGAAGAAGAAATAAAGGGCAAACACAGACTTACCTCAGCTTCATCCACGTCCACCTTCAGGAAAACCACGTTGCTGTTTTCTGGCTGTTTTGACAGATCCTGCAACAGATGGGATGTTTTATAACCACATTTCAAGTTATCTCATTATCTAAAGGGGTTTCAAAAAAGGTGTGCAGCGGAGAAATTGTATTATCTAGTCAAGCAGGATTTCTTTGTAAAGGCGGAGGATCTAAACAAAAGGTTGCCTAGGCAACCGGCTCCCTCCCAAAAACAGGTGCCACTTAGTTCAGCAGACAGAGTCTAACATCAACCAGAGGCCGTACAAAGACAATCGTTTTTCTGACAGAAAACAGCCTGTTTTGACAAAGACTTACTTCAAATTTTGGGCCGATCTGTTTGCAGGGGCCACACCAAGTAGCCGTGAAGTCCACCACCACCAGCTTCTCCCCAGCTTCCTTCAGGATTTTGTTGAAATCCTCCTGCACAAAAAGGAGGAAATAAAACAGTGATTTGGTTTCCTGTTGGGACTTAAAATCCACTAGTTCCGGGTTTCCGGGCTATCAGCTTATTTCATGCCTCGTTTTATGAACCATAAAAGTATCAAAAACCGGGTTTGACTTCTCCTCTCCATTCCTAGCATATTTTTCCCACTTTGTTTTGAACACAGCCTCTCATTAATCCTCCAAAGCGGTTTTTTTCCGGGTTGGGTGTCAACAGAATTCATTTCGCAGTTTCTACGTTTCTAGCATTTTCCAACATTTATCGCCTCCACAAAACCGCCACGTTTGGGGGTTATTAAAAAACACATTTAAAAAAAAAAAAAAAAAAAAAACCTTTTTACATGTTTAGCTAAAGTGAATCACCCCCACACGGCTAAACGGCTTCCCCGGGATTAGCTCAACTTTTTCGGGTGCGTTAGCTACTTTCCCATCGGCAGCCAGCCAGGCGGGGCCACCCCGCAACTGACCAAAAAATGTAGTCTTTTAGGGTTTGAACGCGGCTGTTCGGACCCGAAAGACTACTATTTTTCTTTTTATCTCATAACAATTCCGATAGATTTTTACGTCAGCAACGTGTCTTGTCGACCATAAAACGGCAAAGTCCACCAACCTCATGCTCCGTAACCGACCAGACTATCGACCAACTGTTTTCCCGTTTGAATCTGCCTGGGTTAAACTTGACAAAAACCGTTATTCGGATATACACTACTAGCAGGCGGTTATTTTTTTTTAAATAAATCGGTAGGTTCACATTTTGAAACTGGGCTCCTGTTTAGCACGAGGATGGGTCACGAGCGGCACGCGCATGGAACGTTGGCGGTTTGAGCCCCAAACATCACAATGGCGGTTGGTCTCAACGGCTGCGCGCGGATATCGATACAAACTTTTTGAGCAGCTTACCAAATTTTCCACTTCGCGAACCATCTTGGCTGTAAGCGAACCTAGACCTCCGTGTTCAGCAACACACGACGTGTTCCGAAATGCCCTGTTTTTCTACCAGTTAGCGGCTGCTGGTATAAGAGGGCGGGATCAAGTTACACACAGAAAGACCGGAAACCCGAGGGAGTTGACTTGCAAACCAAAAGCATGTTAATTTGTTTTGACTGGGTAAAAACACTGTGAACAGATAAAAACTCTGTTTTATGCTTCTAGTCCACCTACTACGATACTTCGCGTACTATATTGATCATTATTATATAATTGCAATATAAATAATTCGAACTACTTCAAGAACATGCGCATTTATTTCGACACTCACAACAGGACTGTAGCTTCCGTTCACTTACTCATTCTTCTCTGTTCCGATTTCCTGCAATTTAGCATTAAAAAATCCATGATTATGTGGTGTATTCTGCATACACCAGAGTTATATATTACCATTTAGTAATTTTCGATCGAATTCACTACAGCATAACGTAGAATAACTGAAATGTTGGAAACAGTTTGCTAATCTTTGACCTGATTATTTGTTATCAAACGATTTATACATAGAACAACAATCGGTTTTCAAATTCAAAGTGCGTTTTGCAAATATATAAGAAACTCATTGAAGGTATTTTTCCTGACTCAAGTCATTATGACTCAACAAATTTCTTGGTTTACCGTAAATGACTGCGTCAGCGCAACTAAATTTAACCCTTTAGTGAACCTCTTTCCAACAAGTACGTCTGGCTGCAGAGTGCAGGAAGCCGGGGATGGAGATCCAACTCTCCCACATCCAAGTCGGCCATTTTGATAAGGTCACCAATAGGAAGATCCCAGGCAAGAAAATCCTAATTGCTTCATGGCAATATAGACATTAATTTAAATATAGTTAAATGAATCTTGCAAACACTGAATTAAACTCTATACATAAGTAAAGGGTCCACTGCCAGCGGCAGGCCCCCTTATTACTATCCAAAATACTAATTCCACTCCTTATTATTGTTCTCCCATTTTCGCAGACCGCTTCTCCTCCCGCACGGTTCGACGGATCGGGCCCAAAGTCGGCACGCGCGTCTGGACCGACCTGGGAGTGCGTGCTTGTAAAAAAAAAAAAAAGTCACATTAGTCCGGGCGTTTTTCTAATAAATAGCTAAAAAGCGGCAAAAACCTGTCAGTTGACTCTGCGTCAACTGACAGTTTGGAATGTTCAGACCTGGGGCCAAACTGCTGTTTCCGTGGCGATCAGCAGAGCTCTGCTGAGCTGACAGATCCATTTTTAAGTAATACATTGGTTCTGGTAACAGGCCGGCGAAGCCCGCTTAGAGTTAGTTAGGCCCTGGTTCTGGTACTGGGACCGGACCGGGCCAGGCCGGACCCAGTCATGTCATACCTCGTTGCGTAGGACTCGACCTCCTCGAACCAATTACATTCGGTCAGCGGGCCCCAGAGCACTGCGTCTCTCCCTCAGGCCCTCTCATAGGCACGAGCCATCGCTAATAAATGCCCAAATATCAATTGCCCAACCTGCCAGGCCCCTTTTGAGGGCCCCGGGAACCCAGCCCTGGGTTCCTGGACCGGCAGTAGGTGGCCCCCCTCAAAATTTTTTTTGAAATTTTCTAGTTAGAGGGGCCACTGCCAGCGGCAGGCCCCCCTATTATTATCGAAAATACTTAGTCCGTCACTGATAGTTCTCCTGTGTCTGCGGACCGCCACTCCCTCCGCACGGTTCGACGGATCGGGCCCAAAATCGCCACGCGTGTCCGGACCGACCTAGCCATGCGTGCTTGTATACAACTTTCACAAAAGCCCAGGCATTTTCAAATAAACGGCGAAAAAGCGGCCAAACAGCCGCCCCATAGGAAATGAATGGGAACGTCCGAGAGACCTCGTTCGAACATTGAACAGTCAAACGAGGTCACGAAAGACGGGCCTCCGCCATATCGGAGCCACGAGGCCAGATCTCGCACCGTTTGCCTGCAATCGCTGTTGACGTTTTACTGGAATTTAGGAGGTCAGAGAATCTTCTCCACACTCTAGGTCAGCTGGTTTAAGCCTCTGAGAGCCTTGTGGGGACGTTCACCGAAAAAAAGTCAAACTCCGGCCTCTCGCGCCTCAAAACGTAGCCGCGGGCATCCTCTTTGGGCCGATGTGCCCGCTTTTGACCTCGGCCTTACAGTTTTCCGGCAATCAGGCCCAGAGTCCAGACTGTCACAACCCTCTCCAATAGGATTTCAATGGAAGAATTTTGATAGTCGGACTGCCAAATCAGACATCATTTTGAAATTGCCATAAAAAACTAACCGGTGGGAGCAGCCGATTATAAAATACACTGGCAGAGCCCTGAAACACTCGTGCCGCCCAGGGTCAGAGAATTTCAGAACCTGCTGCTTTAGTTTTCGAACAGCGAGCAGGAGTTCGGGGTGAATTTTTGATCGAAACTGTCAGTTGGCTGTGTCATAGCTGCGGCTACATTGGTTCTGGTACCAGGCGGGCGAGGCCCCCCTTAGAGTTAGTTAGAACCTGGTTCTGGGACGGACCGGGCCGGGGAGCAGACCCAGTCATGTCATACTTCGTTGCGTAGGTCCTTTTCTCAGCTTTCAGCCAATGTGACCCCCGACCTGCTAAAACCAATTGCATTCGGTCAGCGGGCCCCAGAGCAAAGCCAGGTCCCTCCATCACTGTGTCTCTCCCTCAGGCCCTCTCATAGGCACGAGCCATCACTAACAACAGCCCAAATATCAATTGGCCGACCTGCCAGGCCCCTTTTGAGGGCCCCGGGAATCCAGTCCCGGGTTCCTGGACGGGCAGTAGGCGGCCCCCCTCAAAATTTCTTTAGAAATGTTCTAGTATTATGTTATAATAGTGTATGTTAAATAGGTTTGTACAATAAGTCCAAACAAGTTTAGCCCCAAAATATTTATTTCTCACAATTATGAAGGGTGGAGAGTTAGGAACACGATGAGTGGAGTTGATCATCGCCCGCTGGGGGCGTGTTGCGTCATACTGGAGCTGGGGGGGGGGGGGTTGTAAAAAGTGTGTAGATTGGTCTGCAGGACTTCGGTCTATCTCAGGGCTTTCACTTTGTTGTCTAGCGTCTCACGGTTACTGCCAGAAAACTCATCGATCTGAAAGAGAGCAAAGAAAAAACACTGAACGTCCGCCCGGCTCTATTAACTCAGGATCAGAACTCTGTTTTACATCCACCTGTTTGTCTTTTTCGTCCTTAAGAATAAAATAATCACACACAACTGACGTTTTACCGATAGCTTCAAATTAACATAACCATCTTAATGGTTAAGACACAGAGCTGTGGGGAAGGACATGCTAATGCTAACGTTAATGCTAATGGCTGTGCTGGAAAATGACCGGACCGAATATTAGAGAACAACACAGCAAAGTGGAATGGATTGTTTTAGTCCGTGTGCTGGAAAACACAGATCTGACTTTTTTTTTTAAAAACTGGATCTGGAGTCTGGATCATTTTCTCCTGCCGGCCGTTCCGCATTTTTTAGCAAATGTCAGACGGATCGGGACAAGCCTATCTCTGACTACCTGGCTCGGCTCCAGCTGCTCATCTGTCAGAGGCGTGTCTGCGGTATGAAAAACAGCCCAGCGAGCCGGAAGCGGCTTGTGAGGAGTTACTGGAAACCTGCACTTCTTGTCGGAGCGGTTTAGGTTCCTGAAACACGAGCTGACACACTCTACTCGCACCCACTTTGACAATATTGTCAAAAATCCTACACTCCGTTTTTCAGAGTATTCTCAAAAAGAAAGAAGAAACAGCTGCTGGCTGTCACAGATCCAGAGAAAACTTAAAATAGAAAACTTTAATGGCCATTTACATCCACACCCACCGTTTCAAACTCTGACATTTGAATAACTGATTATTTCCTGTAACCAGGAGTCAAAGCTAAAAACACAGCGACCAAACAGACCCACAACGTCTGGGTTTTGGACTCACCTTTTTCCCGTTCTTGTAGAAGTGGACAGTGGGCGTGGATTTGATTTTGCAGTGGGAGGCCACATCCTGAAAAACGGGGAGGGGGGGGGGCAGCTATGCATTAGCACAGAAGCTCAGATGCAGTAAAAAGGTAAAAAGCTGGTGTTTGTACAGTTTGACCAGCACAACCCTCATTTCACCATGTTACACAGCCTGTGGTAATACCACACCAGGAAGCTATTGCACCACAAGCCAAAAAAAAAAAAAAAAGGTGTTCTTCTTTTGTTTACATTGCGGTCCCGTTAACAAATGCTAATCCTGTAAGGACTGAAAAGGTTTGACAAAAATGTTTCAGGTCCAGACATAAGTGTCGTAAACCAGGAAGATCCAACAAGGAAGTTACCCAACAGAAAATTAAAAGGCGAACACAGACTTACGTCAGCTTCATCCACATCCACAGCCAGGAAAACCACGTTGCTGTTATCTTGCTCTTCTGACAGTCTCTGCAACAGATGGGATGTTTTATAACCACATTTCAAGTTATCTCAATATCTAAAGGGGTTTCAAAAAAGGTGTGCAGCGGAGAAATTGTATTTTCTAGTCAAGCAGGATTTTTTTGTAAAGGCGGAGGATCTAAACAAAAGGTCGCCTAGGTAACCGGCTCCCTCCCCAAACAGGTGCCACTTAGTTCAGCAGCCAGAGACTAACATCAACCAGAGGCCGTACAAAGACTACGGTGACAATCGTTTATCTGACAGAAAACAGACTGTTTTGACAAAGACTTACTTTAAAAAATGGGCCGATTATTTAGCAGGGGCCACACCAAGTAGCCATGAAGTCCACCACCACCAGCTTCTCCCCAGCTTGCTTCAGGAGGTTGTTGAAATCCTCCTGCACAAAAGGATAAAAAAAAAAAAAAAAGAAGACATAAAACTGTGATTTTGTTTCCAGTTAGGACTCAAATCCGGTCGTTCATGCTGGTTATCTGAGCTTTTGATCAAACATTTCCTGCATTTTACCAGGTGAGCTCAGGGTTTGACTTCTCCCCTCCATTCCTAGCATACTTTGCCCACTTTGTTTTGAACACAGCCTCTCATTAATCATCCAAGGCGGTTTTTTTTATTCAAAAATACATTTAAAAAAGCTTACAAATGGTTTAGCTAAAGTGAATCATGTGAAGAGTACTCCAGAAAGACTACTTTTCCCCCCTTTTATCTCATAACAATTCCAATTAGATTTTCTAACTGGGGAGGAAAACTTGATTAAAAAAAAAACGTTATTCGGATAGACATTACTAGCAGGCGGTTATGTTTTTTTAATTATTTTTTTTATTTTATTTTACAATAAATCGGTAGGTTCAATGAGGAAGAACAAACACATTTTGAAACTGGGCTCCTGTTTCAAACGTTGGCGGTTGAGCCCCAAACATCACAATGGCGGTTGGTCTCAACGGCTGCGCGCGCATTCGATACAGACTTTTTGAGCTACTTGCCAAATTTTCCACTTTGCGAACCATCTTGGCTGTAAGCGAACCTAGACCTCCGTGTTCAGCAACACACGACGTGTTTCGAGATGCCCTGTGCTTCTACCAGTTAGCTGCTGCTGGTATAAGAGGACAGAATCAAGTTCCACAGGTGTGACGTTATGAGCGTGTTAGCTCTAGAACTCCAATGCCCAGCATGCAACAGGGTTCAGGTGCGTTCGTGGTAGCCCCGCGAGAGTTGTGCAGAAGTACGAAGTATAACGCGGTGTCATGAAGTTACGCTGGAGTTGGTTAATAAAGTCGACAAAAGAAGTATCACGTTTCCGCTATTTATGATAAATCAGAAGAACAACACATAAAGAAAAACCGGAAACCCATGGGAGTTGACTTGCAAACCAATAGCATGTTAATTTGTTTTGACGCTGTAAACAGATACAAACTCTAGTCCACCTACTACGATACTTTGCGTACTATATTAATCATTATTATATAATTGCAATATGAGTAATTCGAACTATTTCAAGAACATAGGCATTTATTTTGACATTCACAACAGGACTGTAGCTTCCGGTTACCTGGTCATTCGTCTCTGTTCCGATTTCCTGCTGTTTAGCATTAAAAAAATCCATAATTTACCATTCAGTAATTTTTGATCGAATTCACGACAGCATAACGTACAATAACTGAAGTATTGGAAACTGCTTGCTAATCTTTGACGTGATTATTTGTTATCAAACTATTTATACATAGGACAATAATCGATTTTCAAATTCAAAGTGCGTTTTGCAAATACGTCAGAAACTCATTGAAGGTAGTTTAAATGACTCGAGTCATTATGACTCGACAAATTTCTTCAAACTAAGTTTAACCCTTGAAATACCACCATTAAACGTTTCCCCTTTCATTTTCATCTGTGTTGATTTACCCTACAACGTTTTGTATTGGTTTTATGCTGTCCTAATATCACCCACTTATGTCCATCTGGGTGCCCTTTTCCTCGTCTTATTCAATATTTGTGCCACACAGTCTGTTAGTGTTAATTTCAATAATGAACCTGGAAAGTTGGAGTGAACAGATTTTCTTTTCTAAACACCTAATGATTTTGCATCCGCCTCCCAACGTTTTGAATAACCAAGTAATTAGATATAAAAGAAAAAATGGCATGACGTGTTGTAGCATCTATGAAAAATGTTGAACTTTGATTCACCAATAAAAAGAAATAAGTCACTATATACTACTGACTGAAACAGACTACAACCTTTGTAACCATGGCTCTGCCTCTCAGCACCACAAAGAGCTCATGAAATTCAAATAATCAGCCTTCTTCCTGATCAAACAAAAGGATCCAGCTGGCAGTAAAAGCTTAACAGTATTTGCATTACCGTCTGGATTTGTTCCGGGACTGAATATGTACATGATTTTTCAAGTTTTCATTATCTTATTTTAGAATTTTTTTAAAAACCTTATCGCAACTCTACAAAATGAGGTAAAAGATGCATGAAAAGATTGTCTATCCAAAGGCTTCCATTGAAAAACAAAACAAAAACACACATGGTTCATCACGTGAAGTGTTTAATATGTAAATGCACCAACAGGAGATTCATAAAGTAAAATGTATAATGTAGTAAATGTTTGAAACGTCCCTGTTAGAGACCAAAATGTTACATAAAACATTATGAACAGTTTCAGTCCTTATCCTTTTCAGGGGACGTGAGTCTTTAAGGAACATATTATGATAGCAGAACCAAGAGATGCTTTCATTTTATCCTTTTTTAAGAGAACAGACAACAAGTTTATGAGATCTCTGAAAAGACTGTACTCCAACATGTTGATTGGGATTCTAAATGGACAGAAGTGCGAGAATATACGCGGTTCTTTCCTCCGGTATGAATTCAGACTGCAACCACGGCCTTGCCCAGGTTTTCTCCCTGAAGCATCCCCATGAAAGCAGCTGGCATGTTGTCAAAGCCCTTTGTGACGTGCTCCCGACACTTCAGCTTCCCCTACGGAGGCAGAATTCACCCTTTGGATTAACGCCGTTTCAATATCGCCAGGCAAAAAGCATTCCTTCATTCTGGTGTTTAACCCTGTAATGCCAAATGTGTCATATCTGAAGCATACGGTTTCTGAAATGTTTTGCGTCTGACTCCTTTTGCATAATTGAATGGTAAAAACTTTGCTAAAAATCCTATTTTACACAATCAGATATACCTGATAACAGAGGGAAGAAGACTACACAAAAAATAATCTTGACTTATCGCATAGTAATAAATTATTAACATAAAATATGTATTTCTGTTTTTTTCTTTTTACATATTTTGTTAAAAGGCCAAATAAAGACTTCAAACCCCCAAAAAAGTAATTTTTCTGTTTTGTTTTCTTCTTGGATCAGGCTTTAAAGGGTTAGATCGTACCTCCTTATACCAGCCCATCAGCCTCCTGAGGCTCTCGGGATGTTTGTGCTCCCATCGGCTTTGCATGAAACCTTCCATCTTAAGCTGCTTGAAGATCATTGTCAGGTGTGGATACGGCCCTGAGAAATATGGATTTGGAACAAAACGTTGAACCAGTCTGAGAACAGAGACGCCACGTCGCCCTCTAGTGAAATTTTAAAATCGCACATGTATTAAGACATTCAAGAGCACAAAATGGTTTAACTGCATCAGATTCGAGATTTTCACCAAGCGGGAAATTAAAGAATAAGAACATTTAAGGCATGATTAATGTTTAAAATACAGTGAACCCTCGCTATATCGCGGTTCACCTTTCACGGATTTGCGTTGTGTTCTGCGTTCTGATTGGCTGAACAGCTTCTCCTCTACCTGCTTGCTAAATTTAAGTTTTGCCAATTCTCTTGCAGTTTCAAGTTTCTCTAAAACCTGTAACGTAATTTTGACAAAGGCACTCGCTGTCGGGCCCGAAAGGCAGATAAAGAAGCTAACTATGGCAGAAAAAGTCAAACCTCTGGATACGCTAAAGGAAGCTAGAAGCTAGCGGCTTTAGGTCGCCATTATCGGATTAATGAATCTTCTGTTCGGTCCATAAAGAAGGAGGAAAATAACAGGACGACGGCAGCAATTAGTTTTAATAAGGATCTAATCTCCACAATTTGAAGTCTTCAGTTTGTATTGATGATTAAAAGTATTATTTTACAGTACGGTAGTTATTTATAAAAAATAAAACTTAAACGTTTATACAGTACTTTTAATTGTTAAACAAATGCTTGGGCCTGTAAAGAGGTTTTGTTCATTGGTTTAAATGTATTATGGAGCGTTTTATTGTATAATAATTGTAAAAAAAATAATAATGATTTTGCCTATCACGGGTTATTTTTGGAACGTAAAACGAGGGTTCACTGTATACAAAAATAACACACACACTTGTTTGGGGTGTAGTATCATTATAGGTGGAGATACTTCCACAAACAACAGTATTATGGAGCGTTTTATTGTTTAATAATTGTAAAAAAATAAAGGTTACTACTTCACGGATTTCGCCTGTCACGGGTTCTTTTTGGAACGTAAAACGGGGGTTCACTGTATACAAAAAACACACACACACCTGTTTGGGGTGTGGTATCATTATAGGTGGAGATACTTCCACAAACAGCTATTCTCCCAAAGTTCCTCATCTGCTGGATGGCCACAGTTGAGAAATGACCTCCGACCTAAAAAAAAGAGGAGAGCTGAAGCTTTGCTGGTAGAAAATAAGAATGAGGTGGATGAGGACCTCCTCACTAGGGTTGTCAAAAGTATCGATACTTTTTATAGTATCGATACTAAAATGTTGTATCCGGATATGATACTCATTTTAAAAAGTATCGATACCACCACCCCCCCTTCTCTCAGATTTATTTATGTATTTTTTTACGTTGTTTATGATCATTAACAAGACGTTAGCCTTGAACTGCTAGCTTCAGCTAATGGCTAATAATAACGTGCTACCATTAGTCAAGTATATATCTAACTCCGCCCACATCCAATCGGCCATTTTGATTAGGTCACCAATAGGAAGATCCCAGGCAAGAAAATGGTATTGCTTCATGGCAATATAGAAATTAATCTAAAAATGGTGAAATTAATCTTTTGAACACTTAATTAAACTCTATCCATAATATTATGTTAAAATAGTGTAATGTTAAATAGGTTTGTAGAATAAGTCCAAACAAGTTTAACCAAAAAATATTTATTCCTCACAATTCTGAAGGCTGGAGGGTTAGGGTTAGGGTTAGGGTTAGGGTTAGGGTCAGGTTTAAGGTTAGGGTTAGGGTTAGGATTAGGGTCATTAATGCGGGCCACCAGTCACGATAACATCAATAACAGGTCAGTTTGAAATGAAAGACACTAACCTGTCAAAATTCAGTTAAATTTGGGGTTTTTGTTTTTATCCTTGTGGTATCGAAAATGGTATCGAGTATTTTCCTGAGTATCGGTATCGAGTTGAAAATGTTAGTATCGTGACAACCCTAGTCCTCACGTTCTCAAAGAAGCAGTCGTATCCGTCGGGGGCGGCCCTCCTCAGCGCCTCCTCCAGGGAGCCCACGGTTTTGTAGTTGAAGGCCCGGTCGAAGCCCAGCTCCTGCAGGTATTTCACTTTGGCGTCGGACCCGGCCGAACCCACCACCCTGCAGCCCTTTGTAGTGGATTAATATCTCACAATTAGGGATGGGACGGTTTCTGAAAACCGTCTGAACCGTTGGGTTCGACTGTCTCGGTTCGGTTCGCGTGTGTTGCGTTCGGTTCATGCTACTCCTTTTTCTCAGAGGGAAGCGTTTACACTCCAGAGCAGAAGGGGGCGCTACTGCGCCCAAAGCCAACCACCAGTAGGAAACAAGAAGAAGAAGAAGCAGCGTAGCGATAAAAATCAGACGCGCCAACAGCAGTTTCTAGTTCTGCTGTACGGGACCACTTTGCATTTAGAGGGAAGCACATGTTGGAATTAGCACTGTTTCCTCTCTTGCAATGCCAGAATCCCACCTACTTTTAACCTAAGACTGTCACAATGATGTATCAAATGTCAGACTGGTTTTTTCTTTCAGTTTTAACCTGACTATACAAGACATAATAGATTTTCCTAACAATCAACATATACCAAACCGAAAACCGTGAATCGAACCGAACCGTGGATTTTGTGAACCGTCCCACCCCTACTCACAATGCATATATTTTTGTCACAGTAATTATATTCATGTCACAGTGATAAATAGTGTGCCTTAACATGCCTCAAAGAAAAGAGTTGAATAAGGAAATAATGTGGGTGGCGGTGGAAACAACCAAGGTCCAGACGTCAAACTAATTGAATAAGAAAATAATGAGGGTGGAGGTAACCAGAGGGTCAATGCAAACAAAAATGTGTATCACCGTTGAAACCATGGGAAGGTACTAGAAAATGACCGGGATGGGCAATGGCGTGTAGACAGGAAGGTGGGGCGAGGATGCCCATTTTAAAAAATACACACCCTAGGGTAATTTCCACCGGTACAAAATCAAATAACAGAGATATCCGTGGAATATGACGTGAAATTACTTCATAAATAGGACCCAGGGAGTGTATATAAGCAGACCACTTTTCCCAAGAGAGCAGGTGAAATTAATTAATAATAATTAGCCTGGCTAACAGCTCATGTGGTTGACTTGTATTTGCTGCAATAAACCACTCTGGACCGAGACCCAGCTGCCTCTGCTTCTTTTCGACCACTGTTTGAGATTTTTTCAACAGCTTCTCCAAGAACTTAGTATTTTTGAAAGACTTAGCATAATTCACTAGGTCGTCAGGAGGAACTCCCCCACACCTTGATCTTTGCGATCTGCCCCACCACGGCGCCCACAGCTCCGGCCGCCGCGTTCACCAGCAGGGTCTCGCCCTCCTGCAGCTTTAGCACCTCCTCGATCCCATATAGAGCCGTCAGCCTGGAGACAATCAGAGCATGTGTTAAACTTATTTATCCACTTACTTAGTCGCCAGAATCATGTTGAAAAGGGGATTTACTCTTATAACAACTAGCCTTATAACAACTAGCCAGCTGAATTAGGTGAGTTTGAATAATACACAATGAATCTGACTTTTTGAGAAAAAAAAATGGATCTGGAGTATGGATCTGCATTTTTGGATTGCGTTTTTTTTTGTTGCTGCTATTGATTTAATGTTAATTAATTAATTTAATATTGATTTAACCTCCTCGATCCCGTACAGAGCCGTCAGCCTGGAGACGATCAGAGCATGTGTTAAAGTCTAAAGTTATTTATCCACTTACTTAGTAGCCAGACTCATGTTGAACAGGGATTTACTCTGATAACAACTTAATGGTTAGGACACAGACTTGTGGGTTAGGAGATGCTAATGCTAATGCTAATGTGGGATCAAACTTTAAAACAAAACTGGATCTGGAGTCTGGATTTCCATTTTAAAATTATATTAATATTAAAATTATATTATTATAATATTAATTATATTAAAGTTATTTATCTACTTACTTAGTTGCCAGACTCATGTTGGAAATGGATTTACTCTTATAACAACTAGCCTTATAACAACTTGCCAGCTGAATTAAGTGAGTTTGAATAATACACAAGGAATCTGACTTTTTGAAAAACAAACTGGATGGATCTGGAGGATGCATTTTCCTACTAACTTTGCATTTTTTTTGTTGCTGCTATTGATTTAATGTCATTAATTCATTAAATATTGATTTAACCTCCTCGATCCCGTAGAGAGCCGTCAGCCTGGAGACGATCAGAGCATGTGTTAAAGTCTAAAGTTATTTATCCACTTACTTAGTTGCCAGACTCATGTTGAAAAGGGATTTACTCTGATAACAACTAGCCTTATAACAACTAGCCTTATAACAACTAGCCAGCTGAATTAAGTGAGTTTGAATAATACAAAAATGGATCTGGAGTCTGGATCTGCATTTTTGGATTGCGTTTTTTTTTGTTGCTGCTATTGATTTAATGTCATTAATTCATTAAATATTGATTTAACCTCCTTGATCCCGTACAGAGCTGTCAGCCTGGAGACAAGGTACCGGTACCGGCCAATCAGAGCAGGTATTAAAGTTATTTATCTACTTACTTAGTTGCCATACTCATGTTGAAAAGGGATTTACTCTGATAACAACCAGCCAGCTGAATTAGGTGATCTGGAGTCTGGATCTGCATTTTTGGATTGCGTTTTTTTGGCAAATATCGACAGAGACCCACTGAGGTTTAGCCCCCCTAGAGGATGCATTTTCCTACTAACTTTGCATTCTTTTTGTTCCGGCTATTGATTTAATGTCATTAATTAATTAAATATTGATTTAACCTCCTCAATCCCGTACAGAGCCGTCAGCCTGGAGACAAGGTACCGATACCGGCCAATCAGAGCATGTGTTAAAGTTATATAGCCAAACGGTCCCTAACCCCCGGTACCGGTCTGTGGGTCGACTGGTGCCGGGCCGCACAGAAAGAATAAATAATAAGAATAAACAATCAGTGTGAAACCTGTGTTGTGTGTTCTGCACGTCGGGGCTTATACACACAAACATTAACTCATTTGCCCAGACACACACCTTTGAGCTTCTGTGCAGTTGCCGTACAAAATTGGAAATATATCCGGTCTGCCATTACTACCAGTGTCGTGGTGGTTTGTGTGTGTCTCTTTCTTGTGTCTGCATGCAGGTGCTTCTACAGGTTCTCCCCGGGGTTTGTCTGCAGTATTTTTTTTGCTGTTAGTGTTTGTTAGTTTGTGTGTGTCTCCCCGTAGTGTTTGTATCAGAGCATGTGTTTAAAGTTTAAAGTTATTTATCTTCTTACTTAGTTGTCAGACTCATGTTGAAAAGGGATTTACTCTGATAACGACTAGCCAGCTGAATTAGGTGAGTTTGAATAACACACAATGGATCTGACTTTTTGAAAATGCCGGCCGATACGCGTTTTTTGGCAAATATCGTCGGCCGATCCGATTCAGATATCGGATCTGGACGAGCCAACGGCAGAAAAAACGTATTTCTGCCCAGCTTCTCGCAGAGTCATCTAGGAATCCACCTCACACTTGGATTGTGTCCGCCGCCTTACCCCGGCATCCCGATGGTTCCCAGGGCCAGAGACAGAGAGACGTCCTGAGGCCAGTCGGTTGCCACGGGGACGAGGTCCGACCCATCGCTGACCGCGTGGGTCTTCCACCCGGAGCGACTCACAACGTGGCTCCCCACAGGAAAGGCCGGGTTCCTGCTCTGAATCACTCTGCACAAAAAACAGGAAAGCATAGAAATATGATTCAGTAAAGGTTTCTGCTATATCCACACAGGGAGGGAGAATTGAACAAATCCACTGTTTTTCATTTAAAGGGGACATATTATGCAAAACCAAGTTTGTAATCATTTGATTGTGTACATTTGGGACTGTGGAGGGCCTATCAGCAGGCAAAGTGTGAAAAAAAAATGACTCAGTCGTGTTTTTGTGGGCCGCCTCAGTCTGAATCCAGGAGATAAATCAGGAGGTTTCAGGAGTGGGTAGTTTCTGACGTCATTAGCTGTTGTTACTTTGATTATTTTCAAAGAGATGCATCAACGTTTGGCAGAAACTCTGATGATGAAGCTGAAAGGCACAAAATGTCCCGAAGAGTAAACCTGAGTGAGTTAAAGAAAGAACTGGACTCATCTGGAGTCTAATGAACGACTACGAATGTTTGGCTGGAGCAGGATTTTCCCTTTGAAGTGCCTGTGATTTGGCCTTATGTAAATTCATCTGAATCTAATTAAAAATAAAAACCTGACCAAGATTCGGCTTTTTCAGCATCCCAATGCTGGAAAACGTGCTCACAGATTTGATGCTGTTTCATTAAAATTCTCAAATGTTTGCTTAAGTCATTTGGAAATGCTTTATATGAGGACGGAAAACAGAAAAGAAGCTCTTTTAGTGCCACAAAAACCAGAGACTTCTGCAGACAACACCCACACGATGAGGTTGGGGGTTGAAAATTGCTCCTGTTTGGACCAGCGTTTACCTTCTCAAAGAGTCTGTCCCTTAGAGGAACTTCTCATAAGTGTTTAGATCAGATTTGTTTACGAAAAGCGAACACAACTGTGGCTTGTTGTGCGGTAAAACAGACCACTGCGTGCCAACGGGAGGCAGATGTTCCCCAGATGTGGCCTCCTCGGAAATGCAGAACATCTGTTTTTCAGAGAGAATCTAAAGAAAAGTGAAGCCATTTAAAAAGTATGCTAACCGGGTCGTTTATTCTGCGTGTTTATCGTTGTCAGAGAGACGTTTCTGTGTCTGCACACTCGGCCAAGAATGTTTCCGACCTCAGCCGGAGCTCAGATCTTTGGGTGATCAACAGCATCTGCTGGCCGTTTTCTGCCACGATTCCCATCAGACATGATGAAAGACTTTAGAGTCAGTGTGTGTGGGCGAGTGGATCTGTTTGTACTCACTTTGCCACTTGACTTCCAATCATGACGTCCCCTTCCTTCATGCGGACCCTGCTGAACGGCCTGTGGAGACCAGATAAAGAGTTTTTTTTTTAAAAAGACACAGGACATGATTTCTGATCCTAATAACAATTCTGTTTTTACCACCCACCTCATGTAGGGATCCACGCTGAGAAAAACCGCTTCCAGAAGCACCTCTGAAAGACAAGAAAACAGTTTCTAAAAGCTCTCACTTGTTTAAAAAAGCACCATGTTCAGGTCGACAAAGAAAAGGCTCTGACCTCCATCTTTGGGCTCCGGGAGGTCCTCCACCTGGAGGCGGAAGTCGCTGGTTTTTGGGAATCCCTCAAAGTGTTTGGCCAGAATCCACGACTTGGCTTGGACCATGGTTTTATCCAAAGAGCTTTTGAGTTGTGAACAGTAAGTAAGACAGATCACACCCAAAGCCAAAAAAACAGGATGTTTCAGAACAAAAACAAAGCCCTTCCTTAGTAACAAAGTTATAAAATGAGGTCACACTGTGAGCACAAAGCTCAGGTGAGACTAGCTTAACTCTGAACATTTTAAATCAGTAGGTGACCATCATATAACTGGACAGTCAGGTGGTTTTACATCAAATTACTGAGGGGAGAAAAACACTGAAAACGAAACAAGCTACACATGCAAGAACACAGACGTAGGAAAGCATAAAACGAGGAGGTATCGCAAGAAATTGACATATTTAACGACATTTCCCTTCAAAATGCCCAAACAAAGCTAGGCAGAGTCGTCGTTTGTGCGTAAAACATTTGTAAATAAATGCAGCGCGCGACACTAAACGGCACGAAATAAGCGGAAACAGGCGGATAAAAACACTTCCACTTCGTTCTTTACCAAAAACCTGTCTGCTTTCACTCACCAGTGAAGTTCCTCCACAAATAAAAACGGCGGAATGTGTGGAAAAACGCTCCGAAAGAGACGCAAACCGCCGCGGGATGCTGAGACCACTCCGGCGGGCCAGAGCGGGGCTTCCACGCTCGCTCCTGATTGGTCGGAAGTTGAGCGCGACTGGTGACGTAGGACGTAAAGCGTCACCGGGCTGTGACGTCTTTACGTAAAAATAGCTTTACTATGCGTGTTCTCACACAACCTTCTGCAGCGCAGTTTTAAAATCATCACTGACACTTATTGATCTTTAAACCACAGAAAAAGGATAATGTTTGGTGCAGATGTCCTAAAATTCTACAGTCTACTCTTGCAAATCATGAATTTGCTTCATATTTTTGATTCTCAGTGACAAAAGACCGCAAACTGGGTCACTTTTCTAGGGCTCCTGTGCTATTCTTCTGGCAGTTTTTAGAAATTTGAAAATCAAAAGATTTGTGGATAAATCTGTAGATAAGGTTACGCATTGTCGACACCATTTTTCTCGATCAGATCCAAACATGGTGGGTATCTTTTGTTTCATGTTGATCCCACCCTAACATACATTCCTTAAATACTGAAACCAATTTTTTAAATATATATTTTCTGGGTTCCGAGGAGGCTTGAGTCGCCTCCTATCTGCTCAGAGAAAGCAGGCTGTTGTGGAGAACAGCAGACCGAATCACTTTAAATTACTTAAAGGCCACCATCTCCATTTATCCATTAAATTCTTGACCTCCTATGATGGTTCGTGGTTTCCCTTCTGGGTGGAATTTCATTTTATTGTGTGGACTCTGGAGCTCTTTGCCATCTGACATCCGAAATACCGACTCTCTCCCTCTTTTAAAAAAAAAAACTCAAAACCCACCTGTTTAAAATTTCTTACCCACCTAACTCTAACATTTTGCACAATTTTATTCATTCCATTTTTAGTCATTTATGATGTTTTTATTTATGATGTATTTTGACTTTGTATGTTTTATTATGTTTCAATGTTGTTTTATTGATGATCGTCTTTGTGTCCTTGTCCTTAAATGGTATGAAAGGCGCTTTTTAAAAATAACATTTCTTATCATTATTATTATTAATTTGTGTCTGGGCAGCCCTGTGATGGACTGACCTGACCTGTCCTGTACCCCCACCTCTGAGCTCCTCTCAAAATCCCAAAAGTCCCTGTTTTCTGAACAGCTTTTAATTAAAAAGGAGCCGAAATTGTGTGTGAATGAGACAGAGAAACCAGGCTGTTGAAACAATAGGCCCCTGGGAGAAGAAGCCCCACTTTGGCGTCGGACGCTTAGAAAAGCGTTCAAATACAAACACAACAAAAGCAGAGCCAAAAACTGCTTCATAGCTGCTTTTATTCACATTTTGTTTACATAATGTTTACAAAAATATAAAAACCCTGATGCTTATTGCAGCAAGCCTACCTGGAGAGGTGTTAGTTTAAAAAATAAGTAATTACTGAATCAAATAAGTGCATTTATTCACACTAATCCGGTCTATTTATGAAGCATAAACCAGAAATTTTGATCAAAATTAAGTGAAACGTGTTGCTCTTCCCCTTAGAAATAGCTAATTCGTAATAATGTGATTTACAGGGAACACATCAGACTGAAATGACGGCCTTGCCCAGGTTTTCTCCCTGCAGCATCCCCATAAAAGCAGCTGGCATGTTGTCAAAGCCCTTTGTGACGTGCTCCTGAAACTTCAGCTTCCCCTACGGAGGCAGAATTCATGATTCAGATTAATCAGAATGAACCCTTTAACACCACATTCATCATATCTCAAACAAAGATTTCGGGGAGCTACTTATTTTTCAAAACCTTCTTGAATGCAATCAGTTTTTAGTTTATTGTAAGTGAAAAAATAATAAAATTTAAATATTTAACACAAAACTAACAATCAAAGAGTTACACAAACGTTCTGGTAATAAAAGAGTTTATTGTCTATCAATCCTTAGGTCAGGCTTTAGCGAGTTTACCTAAAGGTTAAGGTTTATGCTAATAAAAACATAAAATTAATTTATTTTTTGTTGTTTCGGAATACAATCAGTTTTTCGTCTATTGTAAGTGTGAAGTAAATAATTTAATTCGAATATAAAAATAAAATCTAACAATCAAAGAGTTACACAAACATTTTGCTAATAAAAGAGTTTATTGTCTATTAGTCCTTTGGTCAGGCTTCAGCAAGTTAACCTAAAGGCTCCTAAAATGAAGGTATTTGCTAAAGAAACACAAAATTAATTGATTTTTTGTGGTTTCGGAATAATACCTGCTTCAACCAGCCCATCAGTTTCCGGAGGCCTTCTGGATGCTCATGCTCCCATCGGCTTTGCATGAAACCTTCAATCTTAAGCTGCTTCATGTTTATCTTTATCAAAGGGTAAGGTCCTGACAAAGAGAGTGGAAAAAAACGTACTTACTTCTTCGAATTTATGATTTGTAATTGAATATTTTAGCTCTCTGGGAGGACAGACCTGTCTCATGTTTGGCATCATTATAGGTGGAGATACTTCCACAAACAGCAACCCTCCCAAAGTCCTTCATCTGCTGGATGGCCAGGCTTGAGAAATGACCTCCGACCTAAAAAAAAGAGGAGAGCTGAAGCTTTGCTGGTAGAAAATAAGAATGAGGTGGATGACCTGGACCTTTACAAATGATCCAGAACGCGGCGGTGCGTCTGGTCTTCAATCAGCCCAAAAAAATCTCACGTCACCCCTCTGTTCACTGAACTCCACTGGTTACCTCTGGCTGCCCGTATCAAATCCAAGTCCCTGATGCTAGCCGACAAAGGTCTTACCAAAAGAAAGAGTAGACTCTCTTCTTTCATCAGGAAAAAAATCTTGTTTCTACCTTATTCCGTTCTTCCTCGACTTGCGTCTCACCGGCGACATGTTCTCTCATATCGAACCGTTACCTTTTTCTTATTTGCCTACAGTCTATGCTCATCTCCCATCTATGCACTGCCCCCTAGAGGGTCAATTTGTTACTACATACTCTGTCTAGAAGCCTGATATTTACGGACAAGCTTTAGCGGATCGTCCCCCAGCCACTCTCGTTGAAAAACATAAAAAAGACATCTATAGACATCTTTGGCAGCCAATGAGTTAAATGATCAAAGGGTAGGGCTCCCATCTACTTGAATCCTCTTGCAAAGGTTTATGTCACAACTCGATCACTGCGGTCATCAATGGACTACAGCTTAAGAAACCCAAATATCCTATCTCAAAATATTAGAGTATCGGATTTTTTAGTTTTCTTCAGCTGTACGCCATAATCAGCTATATTAAAACAATTTAAGGCTTGCAATATTTCAGTTGATTTGTAATGAATCCAGAATGTATGACATTTCATGATTTTTAATTGCATTACAGAAAATAAAGAACTTTATCACAATATTCTAATTTTCTGAGACAGTCCTGTATATAGCTTATTGTCATTGTGAGGAGAAATGTAATATTGCATCTACTCTGTCAGTCGCTTTGGATAAAAGCGTCTGCAAAATGCATAAACATAAACATAAACATGTTCCGACTCCAAAACCTGACCGAACTTGGCCAGAGAAGGCGATAAAAAAACGATTCGAAAGCGGCTTTTCGTCTCCTCTCAGGCGTCCCTGAAGGCCTCAGTTTAATGAGGCGTCCCTTGTAATTAGGCTCCATACAGGTGAGCAAGCACGTGTCAAATGTTGTGTGTGTGTGTGTGTGTGTGTATGTGTGTGTGTGTGTGTGTGTGTGTGGGGCAGCATCCAGTTACCTACACACACCATGATCCCATAGTGTCTGCTTACATCCCCCCCCTCTCCCCCCTCCATACATAAACATAAACATAAACATAAACATAAACATAAACATAAACATAAACATAAACATAAACATAAACATAAACATAAACATGAGGACCTCCTCACGTTCTCAAAGAAGCAGTCGTATCCGTCGGGGGCGGCGCTCCTCAGCGCCTCCTCCAGGGAGCCCACGGTTTTGTAGTTGAAGGCCCGGTCGAAGCCCAGCTCCTGCAGGTATTTCACTTTGGCGTCGGACCCGGCCGAACCCACCACCCTGCAGCCCTTGATCTTGGCGATCTGCCCCACCACGGCGCCCACGGCTCCGGCCGCCGCGTTCACCAGCAGGGTCTCGCCCTCCTGCAGCCTCAGCACCTCCTCGATCCCATATAGAGCCGTCAGCCTGGAGACGAGGACACAGACCCACTGAGGTTTTTTTTTTTGCTGCTATTGATTTAAAGGAGACATATTATACCCTATTTCAACAAGTTAAGATAGCTCCCCTGGTGTCCTAATGTAATGTCTGTGACAAGCTTTGGTCAAACTCCCATAAGGATGAAGCCCAATAGCAGTTCAGTCCCCCTGCCTAACCCTAACCCTAACCCTAACCCTAACCCAAAACAGCCCCGTTCAGAGCGCTCGCTTTGGAGTGCCTGTCTCTTTAAATGCAAATGAGACACAGGCAATCCGCCCACTTCTTCTGGGAGGTGTGCCCACGTCGGCACGCTAACGCTACCATGCTAACGCTACCATGCTAACGCTACCACGCTAACGCTCACGCTACCAGGACGTCTGCCACAGATAGGGGAGTAAGCTGAGGGGGGGGGGGCAACATGCAGGTGAAAGGCTGGAATATTATAATGAGCTAGAGCTAATGACGTCAGAAACTACCCACTCCTGAAACCTCCTGATTTATCTCCTGGATTCAGACTGAGGCGGCCCACAAAAACATGACTGAGTCATTTTTTTTCACACTTTGCCTGCTGATAGGCCCTCCACAGTCCCAAATGTACATAATCAAATTATTAAAAAGTTGGTTTCGCATAATATGTCCTCTTTACTGTTTGTTAAACTGTATTCATATTTCTGTTCTCTTCTTTGTCGGCAGGTTTTGATCCTGAAACCTAAAAGGAAATTAAGCTAACTAGTTTTATATAGAGATAAAACCACCAAAGCTTACCACGCTGGACAATATTAGTAGTTTTTAAGGGAACTATTCGAAACATTTCTATCAAAACTACACATTCCAGATTATAATAGCATCTTTTATTCAAAAGAAGGTAAATTCATCCCATTAAGAAAGATGTTGTCCTCTAAACTGTTTTCATATTTGGGTTTTTTTGTTTGTCAGCAGGTTTAGATCCTGAAACCTAAAAGGAAATTAAGCTAACTAGTTTTATATGGAGATAACACCACCAAAGCTTACCACATTACCACACTATTCTAATAATTTTGATAAAACTACACATTACAGATTAGAATAGCATCTTTTATTCAAAGGAAGGTAAGTCATCCCATTAAGAAAGATTTTGTCCTCTAAACAAACATTTATTTCCCTTTTATCTGTAACAGTTGGCCTTCAGAGGCTGCTGAAAAGAGGATGTCATATGTTCATTTCTAGGCAAACCTGGTCACTAAAGAAAGAGATAGTTGTGTATTATAATGGCAGTGAACGGGTTCCTTACCCCGGCATGCCGACGGTTCCCAGAGCCAGCGACATCGGGACGTCTTTAGGCCAATCAGGCATGACGGGAATGAGGCCTTTCCCATCAGAGAGCGCGTGGGACCTCCATCCACAGTCACTCACAACATGGCTTCCCACAGGAAACGCTGGGTTTTTACTTTGAATCACTCTGTACGAAAATAATTTTAAAAATCATAATAAAAAATAATAAATAATAATAAAATAATGATGAAATAATAAAATAATAAAATAATAAAATAATAAAATAATAAAATAATAAAATAAAATAATAAAATATAATAATAAAATATAATAATACAATTTAAAAATTTAAAATAATTAAAAAAATAATAATTACAAAGGATAATAAAGTAAGATGAAAAAGGTCAGCTGTGTTCTTAGAGTTTACCGTCATAAAAAAGATCCAATCTCAAAACGATCCAAAATGGCTTTAGTTTTGAGTTGTTTAACATATTTTGGGGGGATTTCTACACTGCTTCTCATCTCATCTGAAATTCTTCAGTTCAGTTTTTTGAACAAGAGGTCAAATGTCATAAAAAAAAAAAAGTCCAGCTGCTTGACCTGGATCTCTCATGCTCGAGGCAAAATAATCGACTTGTTTTGGTCTAAAATAAAAAATACTTGCTTGAAATTTAAACGATTCTTCAAAACACGGCATAATAATGATAAGAAAATATTTTATTAGGTTTTCTTCATGCCTGTTACTTGAATGACTGTATTGCAAATACAAATATTGCACATTACAATTGATCACTTTATATCACACAATTTTCCACACCTAAAGTCTATGTCTATATCTGCATGGGTAAGCAAGAAACGCAATTTCAATTCTTTGTATGACCAGCACATGTAAAGAAATTGACAATAAAGCCTACTTGACTTGAAAAAAAAAAAAGCTTTTCTTACCTAGCCACTTGAGTTCCCAGCATCACATCACCTTCCTTCATGTAAAGTTTGCTGAACGGCCTGTTGGGACCAACAGATTTTCTTAATATCAAGAAACGATTCTGTAGATTCGTTCTCACAATCATCTGATATCTTTCACCCACCTCATGTAGGGATCCACGCTGAGAAAAACTGCTTCCAGAAGCACCTCTGACGGGAAACAGGTTGTAAAGTCACTCTCCCTTTAAGCGCTCCATGCCAAAAGTGAACAGAAAAATCCCCCTTACCTCCATCCTTGGGCTCGGGGAGCTCCTCCACCTGGAGTTTGAAGTCGCTGTTCTTTGGGAAGCCGTCAAAGTGCTTGACCATAACCCACGACTTAGCCTGGACCATGATTGTTTGTTTTTGACTGCTGTAAAGCATCAGAGTTGGTTAGTACAGCAGTGCTTAGATGTTCAACACAAACTAATGAAATGCAGACAAGTATGACTCATGTATAGATCAATACAGGCATGTATTTGAAGAAAAAGGAGGATGAAAATGATTTTACTGATTCATGACAACTCCTATGATCACATTTAAGGCCGTCACTGGATCCCCATGAGAACACAATCTTGCATAAAGATGTGAATATATCTAATATCAGATCACACAACAATTAAGAGATTAGTTCTGCATGGTATTTTGTTCATTTGCTACAGATTTTTACTGAAAGTGGTAGAATCAGCATTGATTAACAAGGCAAACTGTTGCCCGTGTGCCCAGTCAGTTAACTGGAAAAGCAGGTTTAGATTTTCTGTTTGAAAAAGGATTAATTTCTTGGCGTAATGCACAATGACAGACACGGAAATCAGAGCACAGAATGAAATGATTGATCAAACGGACTTAATACTACGGTACTTCAAATAATTGCGAAGACAGTTGGTTTCAGCACATCACAAATATGAAAAAAAAAGCTTATATCAAGTCTATTTTGTTAAGGTTTTTAAAAAACAAAGGAACAATAGTTTCCTAGGTTTTAGGGAACAAGTAGAGGCTAAAAGCTATAAAGTCAAGCTTCAGCAGGTGGCAGTATTTACTGCTACTTTAATTGTCCTTAATGTAATTACACAGTTAGTACATACATATTCACGAGAAATGTAAAAATTATTGACCAAACAACACAGATATATATTAATGTATTAAAATAGCATAGACAGAAACAAAATAAATCAGTAATTAGCCATAACCAAAATAAGTCAGCAATTAACCATGCCAACCACTTAACCCAATTTGTCCATTATTAATTGCAAAACATTGCAATGCCACCGAGATAAAAGAATCATAAATGTGAGCTGCATATTATTTTTGTAAGTTTCAGAAAAAAAAAAACATTACACATATTTACATATACAAAAGTATATACCCATACGTACAAAAGTAAAAGCAAAAACGTATATATATATACATATATATATTTCTTTTTTTTCTTTTTTTTCTTTTGTATTTGTGTAATTTAATTGACTCACCGATTTTTTTTCTCCAGAAAATAAAGCAAAAGTTGTCCGTGCACTGACAGATCGAGCTGACAGCCATTTATTTATACTCGAATGAGGAAGAAGGAGGCGGGAAAGAAGCCTCCGTACTCAGATGTGATTGGTTAAAAAAATCAACGTCAACGATTGACGTCTGACGTAAGAGCAACGCCGTGTCAGCGTGACTAGGCACGTTCAGTTTACAAAGTTAGCGCGGGCAGATTTCCGACTCGACCAGAAACAGGAGAAATGCGAACAGCGTTTAACATTTGAATAAATTGGTAAGTATAGCGGTGAAACGTACTAAAGAAATACCAAGAAAAACACGGTACAAATGGGCTACTCACTTGTTCCGGTACTGACCCCCCTGCTATAAACGGCTAGCGACTTTAGCCAGTGAGCTAATAGTCAGATTTGTTTGCATGCTAGGTGCAGTTTTTGAAATGCTTTTGGACCCCTTTTTAGCAGACAAATCAAACAGCCTGTCCTCTTCAGTTCTCTTTAACCCGTAAATGCACTTCTTCAACAATATCCCATGTTGTTTAAAGTGTGTTTGATTTTTTCATTGTTAACGGTTAGTTAACTAGTTATGTTACAGTTAAGACGAGGCACTTATGTTTACCTTGTTTATATTGGATCCGATTTAACTCAAAATTGTTTCGGTGAAGATAAGATTTAACTGCCCAAAGAGGTTAAAAAATGATAAATAAACGTTATATTATGTGTGTCCACCTTACCACTGAACTAAAGCATGAACAAAATAATGTACATCTCTCTCACGTTTTTGTTGTCTAGGACCGGTTTCAGTCATTTTGTTTACTACTTACACACAAAATGGTTTGCTAAGAGCAGGTAGAGCGTCTTGAAAACATGATTGTATAGTAAAAGTATTTTTATTATATCATGCAATCAGATACTTAGAATTTTCTTATTTTTTTGTCAATCATTTTTTACATACTCTTATGTTAAAGATGCTTTTTTAAATGCATTTTTTTGGCAACAAAAAAGCCTCTCCAAAAACAGTAACTTCTCATGGCTGACATCCTGTCAATACAGCTAATCTGTGATAAAACTCATGTAGCTCCAGCTGACATGTTTCCAGCTCGGTTTCCAGTAAGTGATCAGAAATAACTAAAAAAATACAAATTGGCTGCATTTTGTCTCACTGTGATTTTTATCTGTTCCTTCTGCTGGGTGACTGTGAGGACAGTCTAAGTGGGGACAGAGATTAAGCATGTTAGACGGTGTCCAGTTTGTGGAGGCCCTCGGCCGGCTAGGTTATCCTGGCGTTTCATCGCTGAAGGCCTCAGAGTTCGATTGGCTGTGCGAATGCGCCCCGGAGAACCTTCACTTCTTACGCTTTGTCTGTCGGACCCTCACCCGGAGCAACGTCCTCGCCCCCAAGGAGGCGCTCGCATTTCAGGAGCTGCAGAAGTCCGGCAAACCCATTCTGGACGAGGCAGCCTTGAGTGAACTCCTCAAAACCCTCGGGCCCTCAGATGGGACTGGCACAAATATCTTTGGGTCCAATTCCTCCTCCTCCTCTTCCTCCACCCTGTTTCCAGAAGAGGAGGGTTTGGACGTAGAGGATTTGGAGGCAGAGCTGAGAGAGCTCTGCAAAGAGAAAGAGCTGAAGCAGCGGCGATACAACAAGTTGCAGGTTTTGGCCACGTCGCGCGCGGACGTGGAGCTGAAACTCGCCGCGGAGCTGGACGGCTCCAAGCGAAAGCTGAAGGAAGCCGGCAGCTCTGTGGGAGCAGAAAACGCCGACACCAACTCGCTGCTTCAGAAGCTAACGGACGAGGCGAGCAGGCTGGGGTCGTACCTCCCTCAGCCAGAAACCGGGCATAAAGGGGACCCTGTAAACGCATCTGTCTCCAAGATGTCCACATCCCTCCTCTCTCAGCTTCCCTTAAGTTCCTACCTGCATCAGGAGGAGCTCAACACCAAGGCGCTAGCCGCCCTCACCCAGAAGCATTTCTTCCAGGGCCTTTCGGACTTCGTGGAGACTTCTTTTTCCGAGCGATTTCAGGTTCTCGACCTCAGTTCTCGTGACGATAAAGAGGACGAAGAGCACGGAGGGGGGGAGAGGGCCGATCGCACCGTGGAGCGAAGGAGGACGGAGATGGCCAGACTCCAGCGTTCACACATGGTGGCTCAGCACCAACTGATATTAGCTCTGGCAGAGGAGAGGAGCCTCAGGGCTGGACTGGACTGGCTCTCCGAAAAGGCCCGTCATGCTAAGGTAAAGCCGACTTATATTGTGGTTTTTCATCTTACAGTGGGGGAAATAAATATTTGACCTGTAGATTACCTTTAATGAAATCTAAATTGTTGTCGTTCTTATTTCTTGTGTAATTTGTGTTGTGAATTTACGAAGTTAGATAAATATTTCTTTATGTTTGAAGAAAGCGTTTTATTTTGAAGGGCTCTCGGGAGACCTCGGGACTGTCGAGGAACGTTGAAAAAACGTTAGAAAACAAACGGTCGCTATATTAAGGTGTAAAAAAGGTTACTTAAAAGTATTAGCTCCTGGCTAAAAGGGCACAAGGTTTGTATTTTTTTTTTTGTATTATATTGTGTCCGGTTTTAAGTTTTATTAATATTCTAAATAAGTAAAGTATGTTTGCGGTTTCGATTGTTAATATTTTTCCGATCTATTTTTATCTGAGATAACACGGTAATTTGTCTGTAAAGTTTAAAGGACTGTTTATTGGAATGTAATTGTATTTTTTATTTTTCAATTTCTTTTAGCTCTTACGGTAAGTTCGAATAATAATGTTCGAATAAAAAGGATATGAACCATCAGTAAAAGAGTCCGACCATCTATTAGCGGGGGATGCTACGTGACCCCTTGCTGATTTTTCAGGTTTGCCCACTTACAAAGAATGCAACGATCTATAACTTTAATCATATGTACATTCTAACAGTGAAAGACAGAATCCCAAAGAAAATTCCAGAAAATCACATCATATGAATTTATAAAAATTGATAACCATCTGATGAGGAAAAATAAGCATTCTTTGTAAGTGGGCAAACCTGCAAAATCAGCAAGGGGTCAAATACTTATTCCCCCCACTGTATATTCGTATTTGTTTTATGATGTCTCGGCTTATTTTTCCTCTCTTTTTTTATCCCGTCTGCCTCTCCCAGAGCCTCTCCACCTCCACCTCCCTGCACGTGCGTGAGGTGGCGTCCAGAAATGAGCTGCAGGCTGTGGAGGCTGAGCTGGAGGCGCTGCTTAACGGGCCACTACCCGCCGCCCTAAAGGAGTGGGCCAGGCTGCTTATAGTCCCGGTAGTGAGGGGAGACCTGGCTCTGCAACTGGCCAGACAAGGCTACTACACCTCCAGGCAGGACCAGGTCAGTACCTGACCGCACAAATCGTTGTATCATAAAGATGCATTATGAACTGAATATTCAGGCCCTATTAACGCCAAAAAAAACAAACAAACCCCCCCCCACTGTGGTTAAAGGTGTATACGTTAACCAGAGTTTCCAAATTCGTGGGAATTTGGTTTTAGCCAGCAGCCAAAAGTAGCCCGATTGGCTCTATTCTGTCATTTAGGCTCAAGCATACTAAATCCGAATATTTCTTCCTCACTTGGCGTCATATTCTGAAATCAACACACAGAAAATGCTCTGTCAGCAGATCTCCTGGAACGCTGTGATTGCTGTGCTGTAATATGATATTATTATTAAAAAGGTTTTCAGTTCCTCTCGCTTGGCAGCGCGAACCACGTCATGCCTCCAACGAGTTAATAAAAATGATGATAAACTGCTAGATAACATGGAGGACAATGGATTTAGAACGAAAACGTTTTTTGGGGGGTTTATTCCCTGTTTATTTTGCATGTATTTGACATAAAAACTTAATTTGCCAACCCGTCCTTCCCCACGGAGGTGAGCGCACGACCCAAACTAACCCAATCCAACACAAAAGGGACCCAAAACTGACCATAACTGACCCAAACCAACCCAAAAGTGACCCAAACTGACCAGAACTGACCCAAACCAACCTTAAAGTGACCCAAACTTGTCCAGAACTGACCAGAACTGACCCAAACCAACCCAAAAGGGACCCAAACTGGTCAGAAACTGACCAGAACTGACCCAAACCAACCCAAAACTAACAAACCAGTCCAGAACTGACCCAAACCAACCCAAAATGGACCCAAACCGGTCCAAAACTGACCAGAACTGACCAAAACCAACCCAAAACTAACAAACCAGTCCAAAAGGGGTCTAAACCGGTCCAAAACTGGTCCAAAGCCTACCCAAACTGACCCAAATCAGTCCAAAACAGGCCAAAAGATAACATGGCGGGACAATGAATTTCAAACGAAAGTCGATCGGTCATTTTGACCCCTTGTTAAGTGTACAAATGAATAAAAATACAGAGCAGCCAGTGTGCTGTGATAAAGGGAGATCTGTAATAAAGTAAAAATCGTTCATCTTTCCCTACAGGTACGAGACTACCTACTGCGTCAGAAAGCTTCCTTTGAGCTGGTCCACCTGGCCCAGGAGATGGAGATGAGGAGGTGGAGAACCTGCCGGGGGCAGCTGAGTGAACTGGAGGGCAGACTGCGGGCGGAAAGTGAATCTGTCTCTGAGAGGATGGAGTCGCTGGCACATCCGGACCTGGCGTTGAACCCCAGACCGAACCCCATCATCAGCACCAAGGATATAGCCTTCAGCAGGTGAGAGGTCACACAGCTGCCTTTTAACCCTTTAAAGCCTGATCCAAGATAAAAACAAAAAACAGAAAATTACTTTTTTTTGGTTTGAAGTCGTTCTGTTTTTTCTTTTTACATATTTTGTTAAAAGGCCAAATATGTTTACCTTTCCTTTCACTGTTTATTGTTTTGGCAGTGTAGTGGTCATTGAAAAGGGTTTTGGCTGCTTTTAGGCCTCAAAAGGTTAATTAACTAACTAGTTTGTTTTATTATAATACAAGCAGAATAACACCTTTTCATCAAGTGTTGCCTGAACCCAAAATGCTTTTTGCATTGCTTCTTTTAACAATTAAATAAGTTAGAAATATCAATTTTAGCTAATTTGCTTAACCCTGTAATGCCAAATGTATCATATTTGATAGAATACGGTTTCTGAAATGTTTTGCGTCTGACTCCTTTTGCATAATTTAATGGTAAAAACTTTGCTCAAAATCCTATTTTACACAATCAGATACACCTGATAACAGGGGGCAGAAGACTACAGAAAAAATTATCTTGACTTATCGCATAGTAATAAATTATTAATATTAATATTGAAAATGTTTTTTTTTCTTCACTTTTTACATATTTTGTTAAAAGGCCAAATAAATACATTTTCAATATTAATAATTTATGACTATGCGATAAGTCAAGATTATTGACTTATCGCTTAAGGTTTCAAACGCAAAACATTTCAGAAACCGTATGAATCAAATATGATACATTTGGACCTTGAAGGAGGAAAGGACCTTTAAAATACTCAATTGTGGAAATTTTTCATCAAACCTTCTCACATTATTAAACCTTTTATGACATCAAACGAGCTAGTTTGTAAAACCAAGTAAAACCAAGACTCCTGATTAACTCGTCTGTTTACCTGGTTGTCAGATTTTTTTGGGCCTTTATTTGATAAAAATAATTTCTTTTTTTTTTTTCTTCATATGTTGTTGAGGGGCCAAAGAAAGACTCCAGACTAAAAAAATCCAATATTCTTCCTATTTTTCTTGGATCAGGCTTAAAGGGTTAAAATAAAACCAAGAATTTGGAGCACGTCTCCTTATTAACTCGTCTGTTTACCCGACTGTCTGATCTTTAGGGCCTGCTTAGACTTTAAAGGAGGAAAGGACCTTTAAAATACTCAATTGTGGAAATTTACCAGAGAGAGTAAAATAGAAAAGAAATAGATTAGGAAAGAAAATGATCATACATATTGTGATTTCCCTCACAGTTTTAATCAAATCTTCTCACATTATTAAACCTTTAATGACATCAAACGAGCTAGTTAAAGTAAAACCAAGACTCCTGATTATCTCGTCTGTTTACCTGACTGTCGGATCTTTTGGGCCTGCTCAGACCTTGAAGGAGGAAAGGACTTTTAAAATACTTAATTGTGGAAATTTACCAGAGAGAATAAAATAGAAAAGAAATGGAATATAAAAGAAAATGATCATACAGTGGAGGAAACAAGTATTTGACCCCTTGCTGATTTTGCCGATTTGCCCACTTACAAAGAATGCAACGATCTATAACTTTAATCATATGTACATTTTAACGGTGAAAGACAGAATCCCAAAGAAAATTCCAGAAAATCACATCATATGAATTTATAAAAATTGATAACCATCTGATGAGGAAAAATAAGCATTCTTTTCTAAGTGGTCAAACCTGCAAAATCAGCAAAGGGTCAAATACTTATTTCCCCCACTGTACATATATTGATTTCCCCACAGTTTTCATCAAACCTTCTCACATTATTAAACCTTTAATGACATCAAACGAGCTAGTTAAAATAAAACCAAGAATTTGGAGCACGTCTCCTGATTAACTCTTCTGTTTACCTGTTTGTCTGATCTTTTGGGCCTTCTCTTATTCCCTAATTATTCCCTAATGTCTCCAGGCTGCTCCAGATCCTCGACCACAATCCGGACCCCGGTCGGTCCGAGCCGTTTCGGACGTTCGCCGAACTGGAAAAGGCGGCTCTGGACCTGTCCGGCGGCCTGCGTTTCGCCCGGGACTCGCTGGCCGGCGCCCGCCGCGACCGGCGCCGCGCGGTGTCCCGTCTCCATGGCGACTGCTCGGCCCTGCACGGGGCCTCCTACTCAGAGCTGCAGCAGCTGGCCCTGGGCCCGCAGGTACGTCCGGCGGCCATCGCCGACCTGGAGCTGCTTTGCCCCAACGCACAGGTGGGTTGGTTTTTGGTTTCTGTTCTCTCTCTCTCTCTGGTTTCACCGACCCGTAGCTGCCGTCGTCCGTCTGTGAGTCAGATCATTCTGTTTACGTCCGCTCACTGCTGGGGGGGGAAGCTGGAAGCATGAAATACACCTATTTAGCACATTTCTGTAATTCAGCTGCTTCACTGCATGACACAGAATCCACAAGTTTGAGCTTTTTTTCTCAAGAATAAACGTTTCTCTTTGCTCTTTACTTCTCTACACTCTTTTATTTAACCCTTTAAAGCCTGATCCAAGAATAAAACTAAAATTACTTTTTTTCGGTTTGAATTCCTTATTTGGCCTTTTAACAAAATATGTAAAAAGAAAAAACAGAAATACATTTTTGATATTAATAATATATTACTATGTGATAAGTCAAGATTATTTTTTGTGTACAATAGGAGTTTGAGCAAAGTTTTTACCATTAAATTATGCAAAAGGTGTCAGACGCAAAACATTTCAGAAACCGTATGTATCAAATATGATACATTTGGCTTTACAGGGTTAAGAATCTTTATGAAAAAAGGTCTCATTTCTTGGCTTTACTTTGGATTTGCTCTCTCTCGTTCACCGACTCAGCTGCTTCACTGCATGACACAGAATCCACAAGTTTGAGCTTATTTCTCAAGAATAAACATTTCTCTCTGCTCTTTACTTCTCCACATTTGTTTAAATTGGTCATCTATTATCCTGGCTGGGCTTCAGACTTTTATAGACAATTCTTTACTCTTTTATTTAAGAAAGGTTGGCTTTACTATCTGCTCTTTACTTCTCTATAATTTAAAAAAAAAAACATTTTTATTTAACTTTTTTGTGAAGGAAGAAAACATCAAATATTAAACACTCTACATACATAAGAGAAGGATATACACGTATATAAGAATAAAGATAAATCAATAAATAAAGGGAGCCCAAAAGCAGAAAAAACAAACATAACACTACAAATTGTCTTAATGTTGCCAAGCTAAATCTAATAAACCCAGTCTCATTCTCTGAGCTGCAGACGCATCCAAATGGTCCAAAAAAGGGTCCCAAGTCCGGTAAAAAATAAATGGTCTTTCAACGCCGTAGAAAAGGCCTCCATTGGAATAATACTTATTACAGTCTGTGTCCACTGGATTATAGATTTTATGGTTTATAGTTTATATGTAGAAGATCTTTGTTACGAAAGTTATCTGGCAGTTCATCATTCAGACCCAACAGACACGTTCTTGCACCCAATTGCAGTTGGTACTTAAATATTAAACGTAACTTGTCTATAACAGATTCCCAGAATAGGCAGAATATGAGGACAACTCCACAATCAATGAAACAAAGAACCAACAGCACACTGACATTTGTTACAAAGATTTGATAACGCTGGAAACATTCTATGTCTCTTCTCAGGTGTGATATATAGCCCATGTAGGATTTTAAAA